CACATTGATACAGTTTTCAAAAAGATACATTTGTAGGGATACAAGTTTTGCTACATGTTATGGTAAAAAAGACGAAAGAAAAAATAATTGTATTTTTTCAAATTTCGATTTTTGCGAAATGTACTACTACTAACAAATTATGAACAGTTCGCAAGAAAAAAATAGCAACATCCAGGAATATTTTTAATTTAATGATTAGTATTTCCCTTAGTAAGATTCAATCTTAATGGTTCGAGAGCCTTATTTTAAATATATTAATTAATGCAGACTACGATATTCTAAGTTACGGAATTAGGCATAAATTATATTTTCTCAGAATAAACATAATTTATTTCGATGGATTTTGAATTCCTCATCCTCGAAATATGGAGGGTAGCCACAATCTCAAAAATATGGTCCCAATAATGTAGCAAAGATAGTGGTTGAAAGTTTGAACTTTCTTATGCTAATTTCATTTTTTGTGTGTATTACGTCATTTTTCGGGCTTATCAAAAAGTTGTTGCAGGCAATTATAAAATTCGGTTATACAAAAATAATTCCATTCAATTTCTTTTAATAATCATTTATGAATTTCAATTATTTTATTTAATTGATGTGGTGAAATTCTAAATTGCAAGGCCTATAAATTTTTACGTCATTTTAAAGAATGCAATTTTATTTGGCAAAATACAATATTTGTACAAAATCAGTCGAATAAGTCTTGAAAAATCGAATTTTAAATATGTGACTTTTAAAAAATTTGTTTACTTAAAAAACTATTGGACAGAATTCGCCCAAATTTTGTATTTTGCCTTTTAAAACTAATTGCTTTGAAATAATGTAAAAAAAAACAAAAAAAAAAAACAATTACAATTCAAAACTTTTTCATTTTCAATTAAATAAAATGATAAAAACAGTAAATATTTATCAATTTCTTTCAAGGGAATTATTTATGGATAAAGGAATTTTATAACTGCATGCAAAAAGTTTCCTATCCGCTTACAAAAGTTTTCAAGATTAGACAAAATACGCAAAAAATTAAAGTGACATAGAAGAATCCAAACTTTAGACCGCTGTCTTGACCTAACTATTGTGACCATATTTCACAAATAGCAGCTAGCCTAGATATTTTTAAAATCAGGAAAAAAATTCCGTCGAAAAAAAGTCATATTTATTCAGAGAAAGAACGTTTTTATGTACGTAATATCGTTTTCACTAATTAATTAACATATTTAAAGTTGAGACTTAGAACCTTAAAGATTGAGTTTTAGTACGTGAAAATTCGTTATTGAGGATGGTCATTTGCCCCCATTTATTTTTGCGATTGTACATTTTAATTCATTGTTGGTCACGCTCTGCGATTTCTTCTTACGACTCAACAACAATAATACATTCCCGCACGATACTATAACAATTTAGATAATAGGACAAATCAATCAGTTTTAATCACCAAATCTCCGCACTCCACTCATCAGCTGCTCAATCTTAGTATGATGGTTTTGGATTCTGAAACCACAGGAGACTTTTCAGGGAGTACAATCTGAACCACTAAGACGTAATCAGAAACATGCAATCAGTTCAGGCAATCGAAATCCTATTTAAGTCGTGAACGGCAAAGACACTATCCACCACACCTTCTGGATTAGTCTGATCATATTAAGTCTGCGTGAATTCTGTTCGCATATCTCAAAATACTCAGAAAATTGATCTTAAAATGACAATATCTTAAAAGTTTTAATTAGATTCAAGAAAAAAAACGGAATATTTTTACTGAAAGACCACGCATATTTCATGTATCAAAATGTATATTCATTTAAAATATTTTGTTAAAAAACCTTGATTTTAATTCCATTTTCTTAATTTTGTAGTTCAATTTAACGGTGAGCCGGAAGTATTCCACGAAGTCATTTATGGTGATGGGTAAGTAAAAATAAATATGTTATGGTAACATATTTATCTATGATAACGCATTAATGTTACGATAATTTAAAAATCTAGCAGTTGTTTCATCAAATTAGTTAAAATTTAAATTTGTCAATAAAAAATAATTTTTTTAAAATAAAATAATTTTATGATTCTGTCTCAATTTATCCTTATTTATTAATTCTGCTTATCTTATATTTGTTTAAATTTGTGAAAATTCAATAAATAGTGTACAACTGTCTTGGCAACAGAAATTTTATTTAGAAAGAGCAGATGAGCCTTAAAATGTTTTAACCAGCTTACAACCCGCTCTTAATATGTGCTTTCAGAGTCTTAGTCAAAAATTTATATTAAAATGGTACATAAGTTAAGGAATTCAAATTAATGCTTAAGTTAAATAAAAAACAAAACAAAAAATGCAATAGAAATTTGTTGAGTTACTAGTGCAGAAGGCAGGATGAGACACATTACAACTAATTTGATTGCTTTGATGAAATTTTCCAAAAATCCTCTTTTAATATCTTTTTGTTTCTAATGGTAGTCAAATAGGTTTTGATGTTTTAAGGCATGCCTGGACTAGTAGTCATTCGTTAGATTTTTATATATATTTTCACTGCCGCCTCATTAAAAACTCTACAACCAACACAGACATCTTATATATCTTCCACTCTTTGCATACATAAGGAGGTTTCATTTCAAATGTTCCTCAATTGATGAACTTTCACCACAGGAACAATCAACTCTTTGAAGCAGATACAGATGGTAGCACTACAGTTATGCTAATCACACTCCAACTCACAGTGTGAGAAACTCTAATACTATCCAGGTCTGCGGTTAATTTGCACTACAAGATTATTTGTATCACAATTTGTAAAGCCACATTCCATTATTAGATGTAACTTCTGGAATCAAAACTCAAAGGTACACTGTAAAAAATTACGGTATAAAATATTGACACTTTGGATGATCATTCGTAAAATCCATTTTGTCTCATTAGATTTTAGAATTTTGTTCCTTAACATGTTTCAGTAAAAATGGATTTTATGGTAAAAGGTACCAGTATCCTGAGTGCCGGTACTTTTTGCGAAATTTGATCAGGAATTTTTTACAGTGTATTGATGTTTTCCAGAAATGTTACTGGCTTTTACTGATTGATTGATTGATTAGCATGATTAGTACCCGGAAATGTACAGATTTTTGGAAGAAATATTTCTGAATTATTTTCCTCTTTATAAGTGTTCCTGGTATGAATTATGCACATTAGCTACCCATTATTTTTCAGGGACAATCTTGAATCACTTTCAAAGGTAATTCAAATGCAATGTCGAAAAAATATCATTATTTAAATTTATTGTTTTATACAAATTTTTTTAATAGCGTTTGAATGATTGAATATTGCCACAACGACTCTTCCAACGGATTTTGTATGATTTTGCTTGGATTATTTCAAAAGCTTTTTTTTTAACTCTCATATTAATTTAATTTAAATTTGAGCTTAATATTTCTCTAAGGGTCTAAACAAAACTATATTTTCATTTTATTTATTTGGATTTCTTTTTTTATGTTTTTTTTTTTAATGTAAAAGCAATATGTGCAACTACTGTGTACCGTAAATATGATGTTATTGACTTAGATAATTTCCCTTTTCTTTAGAAACGATGACGCTCAATCACTGAGAAAAAGATTAGAGGAACTGATGGAAATAGTCAAGGAACATCGTGATTATGATAAACGTCCGCCAAAAGAAACACTTCTTGAGGTGTGATATGATTATTATTTTTTTTTTGTTGATAACAAACCCTTAATCTTCCCAAGTTTCTTTTAATCTTTCTTTTAATTTTCTTTTAAAGATATATTTAACTGCTTAACATCTTAAAAGTTATATTTAATGATTTGATAACAATAAACAATCAATACTTTTACCGAATAACCTCCATAAAATACCATTAAAAATTTTGGTCACAATAACAAATCCTTACTCTTAATAGAATTCTTTTTATCTTATAAGACATAATTAACTGCTTATCTTCCTTAAAATATCATTAAAAAAAATGCGTGTTTGCGTCCGATATCGTAACTTAAAATAGTTTCTGAAATTAATTAGCATACTACAAGTTAGTTGAACCATTACATTTGAATCTTAGAAGGTGAAAGTTAGACATTAGATAAAAAGTTATTCAAGTTAGCTTTTTTGACTGCAGACTGAACATATAGTTGTTACATAAATTTTTATTACAGTGAAACCTGCCAAGTTGACCACCCTTGTAAGTTGGCACCTGCTTAAGTTGACCTCAATTATCAAGAACGGAATTTTTCCTATATAATATAAAGAAGCAAAACCTTTGTAACTTGACAACCTGTTTATCTTGAATGTTGACCTCTGAAATAAGTCAATTTTATCTAGGAGTATTATGAAATTCTATTCTAAAACCTTCATAAGTTGACCAGAAAAAAAAAATTCAGAAAATTTTCTGTCATTTTGGCAATGTATGTTAAAATTTCACTTCTTTGGTGAAATAGTGTAAAAAACTAATCTAAACCCTTTTGTGAGTTGAACATCAGGGGAAACTGTAAGGGGTCAACTTTTGATCATTTCTTTCATCCGTTCATTGAAAACAGGTATGTTAGTTGAAAAGTTACTATTCCAGTTGCAATAGTGAGCATTTGAAAAAATTAATGCTCTGAAATATGCTTTGATCC